TTATTAAAGCAATGCACGAAATGAATCTAGATAGTAAATAATTAACATTTGTAGTGTCGAACCAAAAGTCTTGGGTTTGATGCTTTAGGTTAGGATTATAAACGTCATATAGAAATGAACCTTCAGACAAATATTTACCTCAGATAAGGGCATGATAATCGCTAGATTCGTCCATATATAATATATATCTCGTCTGGCGATACAATGGACTGATAAGTACCACTTAACGAGACTCGTCGCGTTCTATGTTGGCACTGATACTCGGCCGAGTCCATTTTATCTAGTAATATTGGCACTGGAACCGTCCACTCATGCTCATCGATCGACATTAGGAGCCGAGACCAATTTTATTTTGAACTACTTACATAAATTTAATATAATATTTAACAGAAAATTTCCTATAATAATTTGTGTGAGCTCAAAAGAAGACTAACTTCTTTTAACGTTAAACTATGATATTACATGATCAACTTCAAAATCAACAAAGTCAAAGCCCAAAACATTTATCTGAATTGGTCCATGCCTATGCCTACAAAATATAGAATTGCCCGTCAGTCCGACCATACGACAGTTAAGTAAGCTGAAGCTTAAACACACATTGTGGTACCTACAGGTCACGGAAGTCCTGTAGTTGTTGTGAAGTCGCGCGTAGTACTAGCGTAGCATGAGCGTAGCGGACCTACTACGGCGTAGTAAAGTGTTTAGATTAGAAGGTAATTTGGAATTGGAGCGCGTTAAATACATATAGTTACTGTTATGTAATGAAAGTCTATTGAATATATGATTGGAGAAACCTATGATATACAAACATACAAACAACAAGTCCAAACAAGGTTGGAAGAAGTCTATTCAAATTTATGATTTATTCACTTATATACTTACTTTCTATTCTTTATAAGATAATTCATGTATTTTATTTTAGATACATTTTTTAAAGTAGTATCATTGATATATAAACCTGCGTGTAGCTAAAAAGCGCATATTTGAAGTCGTCAATATGTGAGTGGTGCCATCAGCAAAGCGTGCCATCAGAGCTATTTACAACCTAAGGCGTCGTGATTCTCTTAGAGAAAAGTTTAAAGAGATCAATATTACGACTGTGCTATGTCAGTTTAATTATGAAAACATTATGTATGTTAGGAAAAACTTAAAAATATTGGATAAGGTGTCAGAGAGACAATTATCAAACTAGACAGAGATAGATTATGTCAGCCATTATTTAGATTGGCAAGATACACAAGTCGTTCATGGGATTCTGTGTTAAATGTTATAACAAAATCCCAGGCGAAACACAATAATTAAAAGAAGAAATTTTAACTTATGTGTAAAAAAAATATGTAGACAAGCATACTACACACTGAATAATTATATTGTAGATAAAGATGCTTGGAGACATGCTGGTCCTCCTCCTCAGGATAGCAAACCTACTCCAAAATAAATACCGTTCCAGTGGACTTCGCTTGAACGGGGCTTTTCAAATTTAGTGAAATTGCATTATATTGTCTAACTATAACTTGATAAATTTGTAAATGTGCTGAGTGCCCTGTAACCTATTACAATTGGTTGGACCAACAGAATGTCGGTCCTTATAACAGCTTGGAGTTATCATGCTCGCTGAAAGGTCAGACTGGCGGTGGCACCACTGGATCGCTTGATTCCCTATAATATGGTTGAGTTGGGCGATGCTGGTGTACGTGTCATGCTCGTGAACGGGCGCCGTCAATTGGGCCTGGTCAGCTCCGGACTGTCTATTGTCCTTAAGGTTATTATCCTTTTATATTTGAATAAATATAAGTGTTACACTGTTCCCACATAATTGAACCAACTGTTTGTAAAAGGAATCTGTATGTGAAACTGATTTAAAAAGAGTAACCATGGAGTTTCTTGCTCGTTCTTTTCCATCGGAGTCTACATTTTAGAACGCGCAAATAGCTTCACTAAGAGGACTGACCGACACACTGACACTATATCTTCAAAATATTGTTTGACGTTCAAAAGTGCCGGTAAGTGTCTTATTGGAATAAATGATTTTTGACTTTAGACTTTTGAGTAGGTACATACATAAACACGTTTTTCGCTTTAGTTATTATGAATAGGTTAAACAAATGGTCTACTCATTACATTTAAAAGCGCATAACAAAGAAAGATGGAAGAATGAAGAAGCGTTCTCCGGCGGACTGCTCATGCTTAACCACTATACAGTATAAAACAAAGTTGCCTTCTCTGTCCCTATATATCCCTATGTTTTAAAAAACACGCAACGGATTTATGTGCGCATTTTTTAATGGATAGTGTGATTGAAGAGTATGGTTTATATGTATAATTACATCCATTGAATAGTGGAGATATTTAGTATCAGTATAGCACCCGTGCGGAGCCGGGGTGGGTTGCTAGTAAAACTATAAATCAATGTGTAACAGTTGTTGTTCTTGTACAAACGTAAAATGTTTGTAAAAACTTGTGCCTACGCGTGTACGAACTGAAACATAGGTGACGTCAACTATTCGTGCATGAAATCACGTGTATTTGCTATGACAACTCGCTCGACTCTATACTCTGTTCAATCAATTAATTTTATTAGTATTATATTTATAGTAATTTCTAACACACCTTAAATATTAACCAAATACACAAAAAACATAGTCGCTTAGAACAAAAATGCATAAATATTTTTTTCTCAATTTCAATTACAAGTTTTGTAAGGATCTAGTCTAGTCTCTAGTCTAATTTTGTACTATATACATATATGAATGATACATGTATCTTACCTGACATCTTGAGCTAAACCTCCATCACAATTTAATCAATTAAATTCGTAAGGACCCTTTTAAATCTATAATCACTGTCACCGCAGGACAAAGACTTCCTCGGTGCCCTGCAAAGTGCCACGTTGCCACGATACGCCGCGATGCGACATTTCCTTAATAACAAAAACAAAAAACAAAAATTCGTTTTACTCTAATGCGTAATGTTGGGTTAGCTAGTTACTGTTGCTAGGCAACGGTCGGTAGCGTCTGTTTTGTGTTGCACCGGCGATGATAAGGAACGTTTATATCGTACTAGGTAATCAATTATTTGTATATATATGTCTTCTGACCAACCTACCTATGGCCTTGTAAGGTTTAAGAGGAACTATTTGTAGTAAGAGAAGTACGGAAACCGAAGTCGGGGGTTGTGGGAACTTGGGGTAAAAGTAGCTGGATGACATTTAGACTTACATAATTATATTTAACAATCAGTAGATAATAAGTATATTTCCTTCACAGAAAATTAACCTATTTTTTGAGTTGCGTCACGTTGCTCATTTTATTTCGTACGTTTTGCTTTATGGATTACAAATGCATTAAATTTATTATAAAGGGTGTCACAAAATTAGAATCTGGACATGTTATTTCAGCAGGACGGCGCAACCGGTGAATGGAATTTGATGATAATATGAAATGATTTGCAGAACAAGTTATCTCATGAAATTGTGATGTCGACTGGCTACTAATATCGTACGATTTAACGCAGAGCGATCTTTATCTTTGGTATTTTGTAAAATCTCTAGCTTCTGTACCTAATTCGAACATACAATATTGTTTGCAATACAATAAATTTTACGACTCTATTATGATTATACTTGTATTTATTTTAAAATGAAAATGTGCGACCTTAATGAGACACCCCTGTTTTGTAAGGGTAAATCATCAAATGACTTCTCCCGCCCAGGATGGAGCGAGAGGAAGTGTCGGACTATTATTGACAAACCCCCTCCTCCCCCGTTTCTTCTTCTGTTCTGACCCGAGGCCTAACGCGGTCAGATTCGGTCGGATCCGTCAAACAGTTATGTTAGTAAGCCGTTAAACAAAATACTTAGTTTCTAATTTTATTTTGAACGCTACTGCCACGCTTTCAGTGAATGCGGTGAAGGAAAACATCGCGAGGAAACTTGGACTTTGAACTCGTTAATCCACGGTCGTAGTGATCTTTGGTCCAACCATCTTCGTATGATTTTTGCTCAAGGTACTGATGTGCACATGTGTGTGATAACATAATGCAGACGGTACTTTGTTTACGTATAAATGTGTCAAAATATTGATATAATCTACCGACATTGTTGTAGGCACATAAATGATTTTGTAAGATTACGAAAATTACCGAAATTATTATGTAAATAAAATTTACTAATTTTTTTTTCAGCTACTTAGATTAATTTAAATTAAATTTAAACTGTAATTAATAACAGCCTCTTTGTTAGTCCTAAATTCAATCTTTCTTATGTTTATATTTTGATCAAAATCCATTCAGAAGTATTTACGTGAAGTAAGTAGTAACAAATATACATCCATTCTTATTAACCTTAATTTTTAAAAAACATCACACATTACATCATCTGAAGGTAATAAAATTTTCCTCTAAAAAAATATTTTGCCCTTTTATAACGCTCTTACGCTCCTCCAGTTTTCTACTAGCCTACCCCTTACAACTCTATTAAGTCTTTTGAACTACTTAACTCGTTTTACGAATCTATGTTTTTAATCGTACTTATTAAAAATGTTCCTAATTTGTCTCTTTAAGATTGTCTAATAATACCTCCTTGCAACAGCTGGAGGTCAATCCTGGCTACATATGTATTTATATATTTATTCATCCATGGGCAGCGCCGATAGGTTGCCATCAGGTAAACTATCCGCACGTTTGACCTTATGCTAACTTAATATAATTATAACAGCAAAGCTTTGGAATGATCTTCCGGAGGCGGTATTCCCGAACCGATACGACCTTCAAACTTCAAGAAACTTGTCCATGTGCGGCGCCGATCGCTTACCATCAGGTGATCCGTCTGCTCGTTTGCCTCCTATTCCATAAAAAAATGCTAGTTTTAACCGACTTCTTAGAAAGTCAAAATTTTGTGCCCATATTTTCCTACGAAAAATCGTTAGTCAATTTTTAAAATGTCGATATTTCCAAATTCTCTGCGACGCATAATTTCTTGATTTGACGTTGATAAAGATAAGGTTTTCAATAAATATCTATTTTTGCTATGAGTTTAGTATTCATCTAAACTACATCAAGATGATTCTAAAGACGGTGGGATTATTGTAAGTTTTATTATGTATATGTAGTTTATAAGGAGAAATTTCAATGGAGTAATATTTTAGTTTATTATTTTTTCTTATTTTCAGGATATTATTAATTTCGTTGTGTGAATGTAAAACGGCGCCCACTCGACATGAAGTCAGAAAATTCCCCGAAGGGTTTCTATTTGGAACATCCACGGCAGCATATCAAGTAGAGGGTGGCTGGGATGCAGATGGTAAGTCTCTTCTTAGTGAGATAAACACAATTCTTTTTGTACGCGTATAGTAATATTCTATAAAAAAGGACACAATTTTATATTTTTGTCACTTATGTATGTGAAAATAGTTAAAAAAGTCCCGTTGTGACTTGTAGCTGTTGTCAGTTAAATCACGTGCGTAAGTCGTTATTTTCAATAAAAAACTATATATTGTTACTATATATAACTATATATATATATATTGTTCTCAGGTAAATCGGAAAACATCTGGGACCACATGACCCACAATAACCCATGCGTGATATTCGACTGCTCGAATGGAGACGTCGCTGGCGACTCTTATAACAATTACAAAAGGGATGTGGAAATGATGAGGGAGTTAGGACTCGACTTCTACAGATTTTCGCTTTCCTGGACACGTATTCTACCAACTAGTTTTCCTGATCGCATTAATGAAGCTGGTGTACAGTATTACAACAACTTGATTGATGAAATGCTTAAGTATAATATTCAGCCCATGGTTACCCTTTATCACTGGGACTTGCCACAAAGACTACAGGACCTGGGGGGGTGGACCAACCCACACGTAGTTGACTGGTTCGCAGATTATGCTCGCGTTGTATTTGGCCTGTTTGGTGATAGAGTACAGTATTGGACAACTATCAACGAACCTAGAGAAGTCTGCTATCAAGGTTATGGAGCAGACACGAAAGCCCCAGCAGTCAATTTCAAAGGCGTAGGTGAGTATTTATGCGCCAAGAATCTTCTCCTAGCTCACGCTAAAGTTTACCACATTTATGATGAAGAATTCAGACCGAAATATAATGGATACATCTTTATTTCGTTGAGTGGACAATTCTATGAACCGGAGAGTGAGGAATACACACAAGCTGCCTATGAATCTAACCAGTTTGAGGTATGTATGAACGATTTGTGTATCATGGATTTTAATTTAGAAATTTGTATTCGTACTGTATTGATTTTATTTTGTTTCAGTGGGCTATTTACGCTCATCCAATTTTCACGGAAACTGGTGATTTCCCTCCGATCGTTAAAGAAAAAATAGCAGCTAAAAGTGCAGAGCAAGGCTTATTCAGATCACGGTTACCCGAGTTCACACCCGAGGAGGTGGAATATGTAAAGGGGTCCTCTGATTTCTATGGTCTGAATCACTATACAACGTACTTGGTGTACAGAAATGAGTCTGCGATTGGCCGTTATGATGTTCCTTCATTCTACGACGATATGGGTAATGTGCATTACCAGCCTGACGACTGGGAACGTGGTGCATCTGGTTTCCTTAAGGTGAGACGACTTTTAACTAGACAACGGTACCTATGAGATTATGAGTTGAGATGTTATAGTTGAGAATTCCTAATTTTAGAAGTTTATTCTTGAATAGGAACTATCGTGAAACACATAATTTATTGAAAATAGCGATTTAATCACGTGAATCAAATGAGAGTCTCCGTTGTGACTTGAAACTAGTAGAGCTCAATTGATTCACGTGAGAAAGTTATTATTTTGAATACATTTACAAATTTAATAGGCACCTTGCTCTACCCGTACCTCTACATACTACTATCAAGCCGTAAATATAAAATAAGTAACAATCTCAAACAGGTTATTCCATGGGGTTTCTATAAGCTTCTGACTCAAATCAGGAATGATTACAACAACCCTCCGGTGATTATCACTGAGAACGGGTACTCTAGTTACGGAGGCTTGGATGATGACAACCGCATCTCCTACCTGAGGAAGTACATCAGCGCCATGTTGGATGCCATGGATGAGGGGTCTGACATCAGGGGCTACACCGTCTGGAGTCTCATGGATAACTTCGAGTGGATGCGCGGATACAGGTCAGATTTTCAATTGTCTTACTGAATAATATCAAATGAAAGAGACGTGGAAAGTAGGTACCTTACTAGAATGTAAAAAGAATATTAACTTTTCAAGTAGATACAACAAACATTTTATTAAGAAATTATAAAAATTTGATCCATATTTAATTGTAAAGTTAAATGAACATTAGTATCTTTATAAAATAACTGTTTTTTATAGTGACTTCCTGCAGATTGTTAGTTTAAAAACTATGGTCAGTGGGTCATTTTAGGTATTCTATATCCTTTCTCGAGTTCCAAACTATGTACCTATGTACTTACTAAATTTCACACAAATAGGTTAAGTAGTTTAGGCGTGAAGAAAAGACAGACAGAGTTACTTTCATACATATTTATAATATTAGTTTGGATATCATTCGATTCACTATACTTATATATTATTGTTTCGTAATGAAAAATTACCAACTAATCCGAATAAAGTAAATCAAAGTTAACCTTTTATTTCAGTGAACGCTTTGGCTTGTACGAAGTGGACTACGAGAGCCCCGAGCGCACTCGTACGCCGCGCAAATCCGCCTTTATGTACAAGGAAATGTTGCGCACGCGCAGTCTCGACTGGCATTACGAACCCGACAACATGACCATGACAATCGATGACGGACATTGACAGTACAAATGCGACAATAATCTGAATAAATCTATGAGTCCGGAACAAATCCTTTGATTTAACGTTTTATTCCTTTACACCTATGTAAGACTCAGATCTATCAAATACCTCTTTCATCATGAAGCTTCATAAATGGAACGTGGCCCAGGCTCGGAACAGAAGAAGGAGTGGGGTGATTTTTAGTCAGTGAGAGTCCAAAACTGTTTCTTGCCCCAGCCATAACTGAAGATTTTACCTCAAAAAATAACCATTCATAGTTGAGAATTTCTAATTATAGAAACCTGACAGGCATCCTATTCTAACACGTGAGTAACCTTTATATTACAAACGCGTCATAAATGTAAAATAATAGCTTTCGAACAAGCTATTCCATGTATACATATATATTCCAGAAGAAAGATCGGGGTGCTTTTTCAGTAAAAGTGACACTCTATCGCCGGCCGGCCGGATAAGGTTTTCTCCTAAGGTAGGACCCTATCTATTGAGAATTAGAATTATTGTTATATTTACACGTATGTGCAATAAACGTCACACTTACAATTTTGATGGAATAATCTACTGTAATGACAAATAAACAAACTCACATATCACTAGTACCTATTGATAACGATGACAGATACTCATGGAAAAGATAAATCTATTAAGAAACATATTTATCCTTACGTTAACCTTCATCACTTGAGATGTTGCTACGGTCGTTACAAATGTGATTTTATGGTATTCGTTACATAATTTATTATTAAGCCAAATTTTTAGGAATTATTAATTGGACCTTAGAAACAAATATATATCTATAAAATTACCTATCCATATATCAGTATTTTTAAACAGGATACTTTTACAATATAGACTTTACTTTTATAATATATGTAGATTTATAATATATGTCGAATTAAAAAAAATACGTGGTCCCATATAAATATTATCTACCTCCAGTGTCGTGGGTGCGTTTACAAACATACCTCCACATCACACCCAGACCCGGAACAACAACTTGTTGATCACACAAAGTCAAAGAGTCGCGACTCGTTGCGCTGCAGCCAGTTGTCGGAAAGTGGAAGTTATTCAATAAAACAAATAAATATGAATATTGTCATTTATTCAATAAATAATATGTTGTTAATAATAATATTATTTTTGGCATCAAAACGCCTCACGCACCACAAACATTGAACAAAGCTCAACGTTTAATAAATACTGAAACAAATTATGCGCATGATTTTATAAAATAGTTAGCAATAATATTTACAAATTCTTTCTATTATTTCAGTTATAAATTACATACATAAATAACAATTACATAAAATGTAAATAACCAAAAACATTTGCGCGTAAAATGATCTAAAATATATTTCGCGTTCATATTATATTCATTACATACCAACTAGTACCCGTGCTAATTCAAAACTAAACATACATTTATGTATTCACTAAAATATTGATCCCTAAAACCGGTAACAATTTGTAAGATCAAGTAGAGAAACAATATAAAAAGGCAATCATTTCAAGTTCAACAAACAATACAGCACATTGTTCCTGAATCAAGAAACACATGAATGAAAAGGAAAGTTTGACGAACTCCATAGTGCAGGTTTAATTAATATCATAGTTAATTGAGAAAGAAACATTACTTATCTATGGATAAAGCATTTGTAATGAGCACTAACAATATACAGTTCATTCATAGTTTTTAAAACATGTCAAACGGTAAAATCTATTTATTATTAGTAAAATTTCACAAGTATTAACAATTCCTTCTTTTTTATATAGTCTCTCATCATTCTTCTCATTTAGGTATTTTTATTAATTTTTATATTAATTATAACGTTACCCCTCAAAAATATTAATTTCATTAAGTGACGAAATAAACCAATTGGAATGTTTGGGTCGCCAAATAAACAATCGACCAAAATTAAATGGCACAAATAAATTGCAATTCGAGTCTTTGCTATAAATGTTTAGGCAGAATTTAGCAGTTGTACTAACAACGTTTTAGTTTTTTTAAGAGTTTAGATAAAGAACACTGATATACAGAAGATTTCTCGAATATGTTGTATTCGTTATAATAAAGAACATTTACAATAGGAGATCAGATGAAAAGTAGGGACGAAGGGTCCACATGAGACTTCACACTAGGTACATGAAGCTATAGAACAGCGACACATGAATCCTGGTACATGCACAGTTATACACAGTACACAAATCCTAGATAATTAAAGATATAAAATCACTTAAATCACTCCTAAATATATACTTACTATGAACATTTTATGAGTAATTTAAGTAGAAAGAATTCAACTAGAGTTTATTTGGATGTAAGTATCTGTTAAGTGAAGAAGAAGTAACCTAACTGTATCACCTACTATTGTGATTAACTTCAGTAAACTATTTTCAATTCCCATGATGAAGTGAATATTTTTTAAATAAAACACTAGTTCCATACTTTCTACTTACATTACTCGTAATCGCTATAGGTACTTTCGCGGATACTGACACATTGTTCATTTCATTTCATCATTTTGTTAAATACCTAACAATATGACAAGTACCGCGTGCACTAAGGTTTATGTAATAATAAAATTATTGTAAAACTATGTTAACTCTATACAAAACTTCAGCACTTCCTTGACTAGTATTTAGATAGATTTAATGTACAATACAGGTCATGTTACGGTAGGTACATATGTAATTGCTTTTCAATATGAATAGTTTTACTTTAAATATATTTTTGATCTACTTTTGTCCTTATATCGTGAATATGAATCAATGCTATAAAAATGTTAAAGGTTTTAAATAATTTCCCATAAAAAATATAAATTTTCACAACGACTATGTTGCCTTACCTTAATAACAATTCCAGATCTAAATATCTCTTCTATTACTATTGTTTAATGGACCGTTATGATTCTAACCACTCATCACATTTATCAAATATTTGTATTGCTTGTTGTTTATAGGTAAATATATTATGTATGTATATTATAGGTATCTTAATAATGAGGTACGAATTTGCTTAACATTCACAATGGGGCAGACATTGGAGGCATATTTTTGTACGAAATGACTCACGCTTGCATTAAAAATATAATTTACATTTGTAACAATCGCTCTAATAATAATATAATCTACGAAAATTCAACCCATTCTTACGAGACGTTTAATAGTCAGCAAGAATCTGCTTGGCAGATACCGATAGCAATTAGTGAGATATGGTTTCTGTCCTAGGTCACGGAGGTAAAGCAGAGATTGATAAATAGGAATGGGGCTCGCGGCTAATGCTGGAGTGGAGGAGGTGGGATCACGCCTGGGTGTCCGCGTCGGTGTAGTGGCTGGGTCCCTCGGCGGAGCAGACGGAATCCTCAGGAGTACGCGACGCGTCTCCAGCCTCACTTGCCTCCACCACGCTGGCGCTGCCGCCCGCCTTACCCTTACATCCGCGCCGTGCCTGCAGAGCCTGACACACAACATATTATTACAACAAGTCCCAGCGTTTCAAATAGAACTTTAGAAAATATTGATTATTTCTGAAGCTTTTGGAGGCAGCATGTCCAAATATCCATGAACGTCCATTTTTTTATGTTAAATAATTTTTAGTAGGTACTTATTTATTTTCTCTTTGTACGGTTCGTCTCTTTTGTCATAAGTATTGCACGGAGGTTTTTAATGCATAATTGTGTAGGAAATTGAAACTCAACCTGGTATATCTAATAAACAATGAGAAACAGTACATTGTAACATTTTAAAGAATTAACAATAAGTAGAAACAAAATCTATAATAACAAATAGGATAAAAGCTGCATTTGGTATACAACAGACAAAATATAAATAATAAAAAAACAATAACAGCCCTTGGCCCGAAGACAGTCCAAAGGCGAAAGAGCAAAAGTGCCAATTTGGACAAAATTGAATAAGATTAACATCGTTCCTGTCAATTTAGTAATTGTTTAGGTCGGCACCGGAGCACAGAGAAAGCGTATATTGGACATTGCGAGAGTGAGGTGTGGGGCTGGGGTGCAGGCACTAGCAGGCCGCGGCCGCAGGCGGACATCCACAGGGGTCATGCGGGTGCTCCACGTCAGTGCGCATGCGCTATATTACGTAGCTATGTACTGGACGCCTCCTTACCTTTTCACGACTGCCCTTTTTCTAAAGTCGGTGTAGGATGGAAGATGAAACATTCAATTAATGAAAGTGGAGGTAGAACACCGATAACGAGGACTGTAAATACCTAAACACTATTCACATTACTAACAATTCAGGTCATAAGTTCAGGTATTAAAATGTTGGGTCCTAATCAAAAGGTTAAGGACAAGATCTGAATCTACAAAATATGTTATCATCCTCATATGGTAAGATAGGTTTGGTAAAAGAGGTAGGTAAATAGGAAGTTTCCTTAGTCAAAAATGAATTATTTCTATATTTACAATACAAAAAAATATTAAAAAATAATCATACTTCCTTCCATTCATTGGTTTGTTAATATATTTTAATTTTGTAATCTTTTTAGCGAATTTCTAAAAATATATTTTGAATATGATTGTAATATGATTTTATTTTTGCAAAAATACCAAGACGTATAGTATATATTATATTTACATATATATTAGTTTGATATTTGAACAAAAGTATTGAATTTGACTAGTTGGAAACTACCGTATTTTCTTTCAGTGGTCTTATGACAGTATACAAGGTACGCATATCAACTAAAGATCGGGTTAAAACTTACAAGGCTTACAACATTAGTTACCGTGTTACGTGAAATCTTGTAAGTAATCGATTTTTGTTAATCTCTCAAATGTGGTCGTGATAAATAAACTTTAAATTCCAGTCTCTCAAAATTGAACAGAGTAATCGAGTTTGATCCTTGCACTTGCATTAGTAATGAAAAGAAAATATTAGTTCAAAAGTGGTTTATACAAATGTTAAATATACCTGTAAGGAGAATCGTCGATGTGGCGGTTTCCTGCCGCCGCGACGCTTACTGATGTGTGGGTTGTCTCTGCGCAGTGTTTTGTTCCGCAAGATCTCCAATTGCACGTACAACCTCTTCAGTTCAGCGCGAACTTCTTCCGAGGTGGGCTCCTCTTCACCTTCCGCACCGAAACCCTCCGCCGGACCACGACGCGATACCTTGCAATGTTTAAAAAATCATTATCGATTGTGTTCATCATTTATATCAAACTAGCGGTCGGCCGCAGCTCCACCCGCGTGGATGTCGATTTTACACTTTCTCAAGTTCCCGCTTTTCTGTTGAAATTTTTCCAGAATTTTCTTTGCTATAAACCTCACGGAGGAAGGAAAACCCGACTTATTTTTATGTACCTATATTAAATTTTCTAACAATTCTCGGCTTGTGGCTTTTGACTAATGTTCGATTCAATTTTATTCGAGTTAATTCGAATTCAATCCATAAAATCCGGATAACAAAATCTAAAAATCTATCTATCTAAAATATAAAGATCTCTTACCTAAAAACCTTACATGTCGAAAATAGTTAATAAAGAATATAATAAAATGTATCCTTTTTCCACACGTTATGGTGTAAAACCATCTATGTAGTATGTAGTATGTAGTAATAGTTTACTATATTTGTTATGGGATAGCTCAGCGAACGACCTGACGGATTACCTGATAGTAAGTAATCGGCGCCCATGGACATCCGCAACACCACAGGAGTTACGAGTGCGTTGGCTACATTTTATGATAAGGGTTTCGAATATTTAAAAATTGGGAAGGGATAGGGTCTCCGGTAGCCTCAATGACACGGCGAAACACAACGCTGTGGTTCTTTCACATCGGTTTTCTGTGAGGCCGTGGTATAACTCCGGTCGAGCGGACCCATTCGTGCCGAAACTTGGTTCTCTCTTTTTTTATACATGCAATTGCTTACTAAATTAGGTGAATAACTGGCGTAACTTTAATGGTACCTCTTGAGCAAGGGAGCGCGCACGGTACCCGTGCCACAGGCGGGGCGCCAGCACGCAGGCCAGCGCTGCGCCCGCCGACAGCTGCGCGCGCGCCGCAGCTGACAGTGGCCAGCGCTCCGGCGCCGCGCCCGGCTCGCCCCACGCCACGCCGCGCCACCACACTCCACACAGACCCTCACAGCACAAAGCTGCTGCTAGCCATCCACGCTCCTGTAAAGGTCAAGTACAAATTTATACTAATATTATAAAACTGAAGAGTTTGTTCGGTTTGAGAGGTTCAAATTGAACAATTCTTTTTTTGTTTGTTAGTCCAGTTATCGAGGAAGGCTATAAAACATTACGCTACGATCTGTAGGAACAGAGCATCGGGTGAAACCGCGCGGGAGTAGCTAGTAATATGTACATAAACTAACGATTTATAACTAAGCTGAGTACCTATGTAGGTAAATTTGGAGTTGTTATCCTATATGACATTAGTTACATAACAACGTATGACTTTAAGAGTGTACATTTTTAATATTTATACTGAGATCCCATAGAAATGAACTAAAAATACTTTGAAAACTAGGTTTTAATACCTGGAATGGCACATTTGCGTTCCTAGCCGCGTAAGCTATTCGCAGTCCCGCGGCTAGTAGCAGTAACTCTGCTCCGGCCGTGACATGGTGCCAAGCGGCGCGTGCGCAGCCCGCACTGGCGTCCTCTTCACAGGCTGCTGTCGCGGTGAATGCTGCCAAGTAACACGCTGCGCCCATCACCATCGCCCCAACTACTCGTAAAACCTGGAAAAGTGATTGAAGCACTTTGTTTTACTTCTTTTTGATTTTGTAAACTTACTGACCTAACATTAGACAGGTGGTGTAGTAATCTCTTACAAAATATCGCAATCCCTTTAAAGCAAAAATGAAATTGAGAAAAATTAATAACCTCTGAATCCCTTGGCGTCCATCGATGGGCTTTTCTCGTGCGGAACTCAGCGAGCAACACCCAGAGTCGCAACACCACGGAGCCATAGCACGCTACGAAGCCAAGTTCTCGTAGCCACGCCCCCGCTATACACCGCCATTTTGCGACCGATATGAACTGGGACGCCGCCTAGAAATTCATTTCGATAAAGTATGAATATTATCTTTAAAAAGAACAAGTAAACATAGAGGTATTAAAAAAAATACTTACGGAAGCATACATCAAAAACGCACCAAGCAGAACAACTTCTAACACGGTCCACATTCCTACCGCCACCGCCTGAAAAAATTAAATAAATATTATTTAATATTCAGTACATTATCCGCAATATTTGATAGTACACAGTGCATTCAATCTTTAAACTTACTTTACATTTTCTTTTGTGAAATATGATTACTCCTGTGACAAGACAGAGGAGCATTCCGCCCACGTTGCCAGCCAGGACCGCCACGCGGTGGGCGTCAGTTAAACAGGCAGTGGAGTCACTGCCCATGCCGCAAGGTGTGCAGGTCAAAGGGCCGGAGTCATCTGCTATTAACGTAGCGCCACTCAGCCACCCGCTGCCCCCTGAGTTCCAGTGCTCTGCCTGACACTTGCATCGATACTGTAAATAGTGATTTTTGTATGATTAGTAGATATATTACTAAACTTTAAAATAAAAATAACAAGCAAACTAATAAAAAAGAAATGTATGTCACCTCTATCCTGCGATCTCCAGAACCAAAAGATGGAGTAGCTTCGCAGTCTGTAGTAGCAGCATCGCACAAAGGAGCTCCACCTAGCCAGTCATTCATAGCCTCCTCACAAGGTAGAGCAGGCCAGCGGCGGAAGAGAGCTGCAGCCGATCTCGCAGGTCCTGATCCACGAGCTGCTGCTACCCCTCCCCACCAGCCCTCGCCATCCTTATCGCAAGAGAACCAAGCATTTGACCACACCGCTGTAGTCGCATTCCACGCTGATGCCAATGTTCTCCAAAACTGACGTAGGGTTATTGAGTTATTTTGTTGGAAGACGACAAGTTTAGGTGGTTCTGCTATGTAGAGGACGCCAAGATGTAACTGTGGGGCTCCTAGCGCGACTGCGGCGGGTGGTGGGGCGAGCGGTGCGCGGGTCGCTGCGCGGGCCAGCGCTGCAGCGCGCTCCTCGTCCGCCACGCCTTGCTGCACCAACTCCACCAGAGCACGGGCCGTGTGCATCGCAGCCGCCTCGTGCTCACGAGCATTCTAAAAAGTTAAAACAAGAGTTAATCACACTAATAGTTTGTACAAACAAATGCCCAGACGAGCTTCTTATATCTCGCACAATGTCAAAAAGTAACCAGAATGTAGAAACAAGTTTACAACCCTACAGACTACTATAATTTTACATTGAAATCCAGGTGAAATAAACAATAGTAGCTCTTTGCAGGAAGCGGCAGCGTTTTACCGTGGGTACACCTTGCAAAAGGCATGGCAGGCGATTATTGTCATAAAACTTAAAAATTCAATGTCTGCAATTTTTTTTTTTTGTTGTAATGTAATGGACTTGCTTTTACGGGTAATTCGCCAGTTAGCTCCAAGGTTTTTAGGACAACGAAATTATTTGCTGGAAAACGCACTACGTGCTTCGAGCTGCAGACTAAACGCGACGGCATTAAAATACGCGCTGCGAACTGCAAACTACGCTCTACTACTTGAATTATTTTGCAGCAACTAAGGCGTTTTACAGTGAGAGTTCTGGAGCTGGACTATTTAGATCACACAGTGTCCTTTATTGAGTTAGGGTTTAGTGACATTACGTTCCAACACTCCTTAGACTTTATACATAGTTCGCGTTGTTACATTACGTTAATGCATTATATATATATATATATATATTACTTTTTCTTTTTGAATGAACGGTAGACGCAGTGTTTTGGATTTATTCGCGTACGGTATTTTATTTTTATTTTATGCAAGCAATGTAGTCTCATTGTAAATGCAATGGGAGGCGTTTTTAAAAAGAAATATATTAAAGTACTGTGTGCGGCTATGGATGTAAGTAATTGAATAGAATGCATACTGATGGCATAGGCGGCGTGTTCTTTAAGACGAGGGGTTCGCAGACGGAGGCTGCATGTCCGGAGGCTGGCGACTGCGGGGCGGCGGCGGCGGCGCTGGCGGTGGGGAGCGGCGTGCGCTGCTCGGCCGGCGCGGCCGCTGCGCACGCGCACCACGCCAGCGCCCACGCCGCCCACCGCACCTGCATCCTTCACCTGGCTAACCTCAAGTGCTGAAAACACAAATGAGAGGGTGTTTTAGTGTATAAAGTTCTTTCCTTGCCTTCAACTAAATAAACTTGTTAGTTCCAAATCATTCATCCTATGAGTATTCAGATAAAACAAATTGTATAGAAGACATTATAACCATAAAAAGACCATACAAAGACCATATAGGTGTGGGAGAGCCATGCTTCGGCACGAATGGGTGGGCTCGACCGGAGTGATACTACGGCCTCACAGAAAACCGGTGTGGAAACAACCACAGCGTTGTGTTTCGCCAATCCCTCCCCACTCCCCCCACCCCTTCCCAATCCTTAAATATCCAAAACCCTTATCGCTATAAGGACAGCAACGCACTCGCAACTTCTTTGGTGATGCGGGCGTCCATGGGCGGCGCTGATTGCTTACCATCAGGTAGTCCGTTTGCTCGTTTGCCGACCTATTCCATAAAAAATAACCGTCAAAACATCAGACTACAAGTTCTTAGTACTTCAAAGTTTTTATTTGACAACAATTGCTTTGCCCACACATGACCCTAAGCGGAGCTGGAACGTTGTCTTGTTCCCAACTTTATGGCTTAGTAAAGAGAAGTGTCTAGACAATATTGATTTTGAGTTGAGTTTGACTTCACTACTATAAAGAATGTAACTTATGACTCTTATATGTACGATGCTACAAAGAAAATAAGCTTTAGTAAACACACTCGAAGTCGGAACCAAAATTCTAATGAGCTCTATCTCATCGTAATGCGTGTAATTAATGTTTACAAAATAATGTCTTCGAACACTAACATAATTAAATCGTCTTTAGATTTGTATACAAACTGATAGAGGTGTTCTACGAACGATGAATCTGGAAATATACTCACAACAGTCTAAAGTAAGTGCAAACTATAAAGTATTTTTACCCAAACTGTTTACTAAGAGTTGTCTGATCCGATCTATAACTCATATTATTATGATCTAGATAATTCAATATGAGGGGCGAATATCGAATCTATTCATCTTTATTACGAATAAAGTGTAAAATCGCTTCGCGCTAAACATAATCAGTACCTAAATTTTACTGTTTTATGCTCACTACGTAAGTAAACAGCAATTTCTGACGCATATTACTTATCTACGTCCTAATATACTCCACCGATATTTTCTCGGACGTCGGTTTTCTTCGACGCTTACCGTTCATGAATAAATAAATAAGTTGGTACTTTAGATAATAGGAAAACACGTTACCTACGTGCGAGAGTAACTTGTCAATGTTTTACATTATGCTGATTTACCACGGGAGATAGCGGAGTTTTATTACCTCTTAAATAGACGTATAGACACTACAGTGGCTATTCTACCTTTTTTTAGAGGGAGAATCATCAAATCTCTTCCCCCGACTTGGGTGGAGCGAGAGATAATATCAATCTCTTATTGATTAAAACCTCCCCGTCCCCGTTTATTGGGCTTGTACAAGCAACCCCAACTGGACGTCACCACAAATGGGCCTCATTTGTGGTGATTTGATGGCTCTTTGAGACTAGGCCTGGTTCAGGGCGGGCGGCAAGCTACCCGTGCTAGCGGTTTACAGAGATCACCGCAGTAGATCACAATATCTCAGGACGCAGACCACACCCAGGCGTTTCCTCCCACTGGATTCAAAATAGACACTACTCAAAATCTTCCCTGGTAAGCAACTGTGGGCACCGTACCGTCTCTCTAGCCACTCCTCAAAGAGGGGTTTTATATACTGCTGCGATAACAGCAAGCCCCATAGTACCCAAACATTTTGGTCCAAAACAAACTTATGACACACATTCAGATGTGAGACAAAACTCTCAGTTATTTCTTATTTTCTTTTTACGTATATATCATTTTATTTCATTTTGGAATTGATTAAGTATTTAAGATAATAGTGATAAAATTAAAGTAATACATCCGTTTACTATTGGGTACTCTCAGATGGACAAATGGAATTCACAGGTTTTGTAATTGAAATCCGCTCGTACTCTCTAGATATAGAACTCCAATATAATCTTATTCTCCACGTAAATGAACATGCGTCTCATGTTACCTTGAGATTCCGCGAGCTAATCTAATCTTCCCAGATCAGGGGGGTTATCCATAAGTGTCTGATAAAATGTTATGAATAAACGAACACGACTGAATTCAGCCAAGCATCAAATCCTCTGTTTATGCTCACTTGACGACCTTTTTTAAATACCAGTCGGTCTGGTTTTCAATCTGTGTACGATTTCATGTAGATAGCTAGGTCACCCGCAATCTCAATCTCGCGCGGTTTCACCCGCTGCTTGGCTCCTTTTAATCGTAACGTGATGTTTTATAGCCTATAGCGCTCAGGAACATTGTAGCTATCTATCAGTGAAAGAATTTTGTAAATCCGACCAGCGGTTCCAAAGATTACCGCCTACATACAAACTGACAAACTTATAAACATACAAACTTAATTTTACCTCTTTTTAATATTAGTATAGATTTGAGGATTAGGAGATTGATAAGGGGTTTGGGTGGGTTTGGACTGATTGTCTAGCTCAAACTGTAAAATTCAATGCAAGTGTTGTTTCAAGCAGGTGTAGGGCCGTGGTTTCACTCCGGTCACGGGAGCCTATTCATACTAAAGCATGTCTCTCCCACACTTGTTATTTTTCATTTGTAAATATTGAATTTTAGTGATCTTAACTAAACTGGCAAAAACTAATAAAAAATATGTAGATAATATTTTTTAAATGAGTTTTTGGCGAAAATTAAACAGTTTGACATCAGGGTGAATTTGATTTTGTAGATTTTAAGAAACAGTTTTGTATCGATTCGTATCACAGCTTTACTTTATGTTTAAACTGGCTATTACGCACGTCATATCTAGTAAATTTTATTTTTGAAATCATTTTACTGCTGTCAAGGTTAATCCTCATTTCTGTATTTGTTACACTAACTATAATCAACCTAGTAGGTACTATTGGCCCTTGAACAGGTCATGTCTAAGTTTATGGTGACCTCAAGGCTCGAGATAACAGTAACAAACTTAGACAGCTACTAGAATTGCGACCTAGTATGCATATACATACATACATATGTCGCCAGTCAACGACGACATCGGCAGAGTCGCGGGAGTAAGGGGAAAAGGCTTTTGTTCATCAATGGATATCTTTCTGTTGATGATGATGATCCATCCATCCTTAACTTCAAACCACTGCTGAGCCTATAATTCTATGATGGAGAATCTAAAAAACCCAGATTCTCATACTTTATTGTTTATTATCAAATATGTCAAATATCTATGCTCGTATTTTAAGGAGGTACTTAAAAGAAGCTTTGTATGTAGGAGCAAATCTTTGGAACCGCTCGTCGGATTTCAAAAATTCTTTCATTTTAATATTGGTAAAATGTTCCCGAGTGCTATAGGCTATAAAACATCACGCTACAATCAAATGTAGCCGAGCAGTCGTTGAAACCGCGCGAGAGTAGCTGGTATAGATATATCTCTGTTGTATCATATCGTCAACTCACACACTGGTTACTGCTATGTGGTGAGAAAAGGCTTCCAACTCAGTTGAGTCTTCAAAGCCGACGTTGGGTTGTAATTTAATAAAATTCGCAAAAGGCCTATTCGCGGTGATTCAATTTTCAATGCGATTTCTCAATTTTCCTGCCACAGCAGTCCATGAAGGGGTTCGCTTAGTGACTAACAGTAGGGTGTCCTTATTGGTTTGTTAAGAGAATTGTTTTGTTTTTGAAGATTCTATGGTTAAGAAAAAATGGGATATTTTGACTGTGTTTAATTCTTTGGAGTGTCATGGAAGTGTCTGGAATATGTATATGTCTAGTCGTTTTTCCTTCAAAAGGGAAAAGGGAGAAGTTACTTTTGAAGAGATTGACAGATTTTTATGTCCATGAAGTGTTATAAGTAAAAATAAATAGGTAAACATGCCTAAAATGTGTTGAAATTAGCTAACAAACTGATTTAAAGTGCGTTTTACATTGAATGACAATTATTATAACTAGAATAATATACCTACGTAATATTATATCAATGTAGAATTGCAATTCCTTTTTAATAGCATTTTCTACTATCTTCTTATATATAAAAATGGATCGCAAAATGTGTTGGTAAGCGCATAACTTAACAACGCCTGGACCAATTTTGCTAATTCTTTTTTTGTTGTGTTTGTTATTGTCAGAAGATGGTTCTTATTAAAGAAAATCTTAGAAAAGTAGAGGGGAAGATTAGGAAAAAGTGACCCTTTGATAGCGAGATAGTTGGACCCGCGTAAAGCGGGGGCGGGCCGCTAGTTGAATATAAAAATGTTGTACATACAAAAACGAACTATCAAAATGTACGAGAAAACCAACCATTGAACAATTTTGGAGGTTTTATTTGGTCGCCTTATGTACTGACCTTATATTTATTAGGTATAGGTACACGTTATGATTTATCCTTTAGGTATTCATTGAGCCGAGTTAAAGATTTCCACTTGGTTAACATTTAGTGGTTGTCGACTGCACTGAGACAGTTGCTTAGGTACTTTATTTTAGCTTAATCTCATACTGCGGTAAGCATAATTAACAAAACTAAATGACAAAATTCTAGTATACCTCTGGTATTTGAACACTTATTTTATTCTTTTTAGATTTATTTAAACGGCTCTATGAATTTCGTTCGAGTCTGTTGTATGTTGTGACGTCACATTTGGTTTTCAAAACTTTGCGTGAATAAAATACAAAAACGAACGTGCAATTATTTTTGAATAGGTACCTATTTTTAAATAGATTTCTATTAACGTTATAACGAGATTTTATTAAAGAGACCTTAAAATCATACTGTGTTTGTTTTTTTTCAGTAAAAGTAAGTTTTACCATGTAATTACTTGCTAGTAGGGTATGCATAACTGAAATTTAAATAAGATCTTACTACTCGTGTTGAATTAAAGGAATTCGTGATTAGTTAAGTACCTAACTTATTAAATTTTATATATCCGAATGCACTGTATCAGTGTTTATCGATTTGT